TGTGAAACCTTTGTAGAGTCCAGGTATCACCTCATTCTAGCAAATGCAGTTTGTGAGAGATGTATGCAGAGAGAGAACACTCACCCAGTCACTGCCACCCTGTTTTCAGCCTCCATGTCATTGATTAAGTCCTTTAGTATGGCCTCCTCTAGTGGTGAATCTCTCTTTAACTGAGGCTCAGGAATGGAGGGGATGTGCTGCGTTACATCATCCTCCTACAGAAAGACGCTTCAATGACTTCCCAGCTCGACTGTACAGTTGTATTACCTTAGTCACTGATTTTAACTTTAAACTATGTGTTCAGAGCAGAACTTTTCGGCACTAACCACAGCAACATATATTTCTTTGTTTAATAGTTTGACTATAAAATGTAAACATTCTCTCGTGTACTCTTGTGAGTAACGTAGTAATCCACTCACCTCCACTGATTGAGACCCTGAAAGAACACAAATAAACTGACATGAGATATCATCATCCCTGAACACTATCCTTGATCATTGTTCTCATTTTCAAAGATTTTCTCTCTTTGATTCCTTCCCTTATTTCCTCGTGTCTTAGAGATGAGTTATAAAGAAGGCAGGTGTAAACCAACAGGGAAAGAATTTTTTTGTTTTGGAGCCATAATTTTAAATGAAAACAGTTAATATGAGGTATTGCACAATATAGCTGTGTTATGATGTATTGTTATATTTTATGGGCCATTTGACATATTTTATCTGTCAGATGAAGTGGAGTCATCCTCAAGAGATGGACAGAGGAAAAGCAACAAGGTGGCATAAAATAAAGAGTAGAAAACTGCTAAACCTCTATAAAGTATTCGTCCATGCCTCTGCTTGCATCTTGCTTTTGATGACACAAAAACATAAATAAGGGTGACGAATTAAATCTCTCTTCCCAGATTCTGTCCTTAAAACATCTGTTTAGTTGAAGCTTCCTTTACTTTATAGTGTGTTATGTTAGTACGTCAGCTTTAAAGCTGCAAGATATCCAGCAGACGTGCAGCTGCCCTCACCGTTCTGCATGTTTTTCTCCAGGTAGAGGATAAGAGTGAAAGGGTAGACACTCAGATTCATCTCATCATATTTGCACACACTCTCCCACTGTTTCTTATCTGACAGCTACAGTTAACAAAATACACCAGGCAGGAGCTACCATTCACATTTTGACTTCTGTGATCCTCATTACATGCCTATGGACTGTATTATATCAGTTTAGTAGCATAGGTAGAGAAATAATGGGTCAAATTGAGGGATGAGAGGCGCTTAAACGCAGAGATGATGCAGAGGTGAAGGATACAAGGAAAGATGATGTAATGGGTGGAGGAGAAGGGCTGAAGGTCATCCAGGTTGCCAAGAACGGTTCTAATAATTTCCTTAAAACAGAGAAGAAGAGGCACAAACATGAAAAGAGGATCTAAAAGAGAACAGTGTGTGAAAGAACACGAGTGCTGAGAAGGATCCACAATTACCTCTAATTCCTGATTGAAGGCGACTTTTCCCATAACATCCTGTTGGCTGTTGAGACACACCCATTAGATGCTCACATAAAGTTTCTCTCTTAAAGAAGTTGTCAACTTATTACAAAAGCAGTAAAGTTAAATATAATATCTATCGTGTCACTAAAGGCTTTTTATCAACCTGGCCATCCTGCTTGGAATTCCCATACGAACTGTGCTATTTAAACCGTTTCAGCATGAATAGTTTTTGATGACTCTGCAAGCTTCTTTGCAACCCACCTCCACCCCCTCTGTTACCACTGAGATTCTGTTGCTGCTGCTGCTTTGATAGAGTGTGGGTGGACACCAGAGCAGAGCCATACTGTACGAACAAATATGACACACTGTGGTGAGAATATTTTGATTAACCCTTTATTGACCGGCCCTTTAAATTTACCTGTAAAATGGGCTTGCCGGTGGGCCCATGGTCAATAAAGGGTTAAAGTTGTCCTGACAGAAATAGAAACGGTTAAGTGCTGCAGGGCTTTAAATGTGTAAAAAAAAAACCCATGTATGTTGTATTTTAAATAACAGAAAATAGCTTTAAGGCAGAATCAAGGATCACTCAGACTTTTATTATGGGGCATTATCCTGGAATATAGACAGACAGATCCAGTGAGATATGTTTCTCTTTTGCTGATCAAATAACTGCCAGGAATCATATATCGTGATATATAACAGAAACCCTTATAAAGAGTGGCATTAAAAGCACGGAAATCATCAAAGCTTGAAGCACAGCTGTTTCCCCAACTGATTTGGGGATTGAAAACATTTTACAGTGCTGTAAAGAACTTAGACTATCAAAGGAAAAGGGATGTCCCACGTGGCAACAAGAAAAAAGGTAGGTGCAACCTGAATCCTTACTTTCTCTGCAGAGCGTGTACTGATTTCAAGCTGTGCTGCAGGTTTGCTCTGCTTTGAAGAGATACACGTGGAAGTGGAATCGTCTCAGGCTTAGACACAGCTAAATTATTTCATTGCTGAAAAATGCTAGTAAAGCTCATTCTGGTTTGGAGAAAAACTACCAAGAAACGAGCAAACAAGAAAGTTTTCACTAGCACACAATTAGGATTTGACTGTTACCATGTTTATTTCTGCTTTTTTATGTGGGGATGTGACGTTGGTTCATTCTCTATACTGAAGAGAGGCAAAACGCACTGATCACAAAATCACAGGAACACTTTGAAAACACATCAGATCTCAAACAAAGCCTTGTTTAGTAGTAGACTAAAGAGACGCTTGGTTTAAAGGCGCTTACAGTTGTCTCTCACTGTGACTACGATGCTTGATAACTATACTGATATTGACTGAGTCGTGTATTAGGAATGAAAGCATGCAGAATTACCTGAAAATGAAAATTATCAACCTAGAGAGTAAGTGAACTCGAAAAACTCTGAAAATGGGCCGAAATTTCATTGGAACAACTCAAAATAGTACCCAGTAATTTGCATGGCCCCTACGCGCTTGTATGCAAGCCCGAGAATGTCGGGCATCCTGGAGGAGTCTCGCTACCTGTGAAACCTTTGTAGACTCCAGGTATCACCTCATGCTATCAGCAGTGACACTAATACTAGCCAGATGCAAAACTATTAAAAAAATAGTCACAAACGATCAGGAGGAGAAAAATGTCAGTGACCTCCACCCTCTAACACCGTTGCTGTGTTGGGGGTTGTCTTATTGTCGCCCAGTTGTTGTGAACCTTTTGTTAATTCCATTAACACTGCAGCAGCTAAAACTAATTAACAACCCCATCTGCTGTTTAACTGACCACATCAATATTGCTGAAGTTTAGCTAATGTTAAGCTATACTCTGATTAAAAAGCCTTCCTTTCATTTTTCTGAGCTGTGTACATATAAACTAGAGCCTGAGTACGAAACACTGTGTATAACACTATCTTGCCTGTAGCTGGAGCCTCCTCTGATCGTGAACTTGTAGATGAAACTCCCTGCTTTAAAGAGTCGAGTTTCTGGGAGAGGAAATGAGAAGGCCTGCAACGGCATAGTCGACCTAAATAAGCTTAGGAAATAAAATGAGAAAATTAGCCAATTCATGTATTCATTGTTATAGTGAGGATTCAATAGGAAATACAGCAGGGAGAAAATGTTCAGATAGCTTTACAGGGCAAATTTCACATGCAGTACTGTCTTTACATATGTTAAAAAAAACAAAATTTCTCTCTCGTTTTAGTTTTTTTTAAATTACCGTATTGTCTAATGCTTAAAACGGCGACCTCGAATTCACTACCTCGTTCACTGGGTTATCTCCGACCTCGAGCAGACCGTGAACAGTTAAATCTGTATCCGTCAATCAAACGTCTAATTTGTCTCGAGATTTGCTGAGAAGGATGTATTCCCGCCTTCCGGCCGCTCGGGCTGCTGTGATTCGTTAGATCCCTCACGTCTTCTTCCAATCCACAGTGTCAGAGCAGGTGTCACTATGGTGACGGCGAAAACCGACCCAACTGTCACGTGACTGTCAGCTGACCACATATGATAGCTAGTAGTAGGAAACTGTGCTCAGCTGGAAGTTACCTTTGCTTTATAACTTGTTAGTAATTTCTTCGAGAGGACACTGCCAGTGTATGCACCGCCTTTCCTAAAGAAGTCACTTGAGGTGAAAAAAAGGTGGGGTGGAAATATTTTTCACGTAAAATTGTTTATATATTAGAGTATACCGTCCCCTTCCTGCATTGTAATGTCCACGTGTCTGCCTACAGAAATTATTAAAAGCGGTCTTCAAGTGTCATAGTCTTCATACACTGTGACCAGCTAAATTAGTGATGTTAGTTTACATCTTCGTGTTGCTTGCCTTTCTTATTTTGCGTTAGAGAAGCCCCAAAAAGTATCTAGTGAAACAAGATAAAATCTGTATTATTACCAAGTTTAAGGAAGTGCTTTCAAACAATTTTCCAGTGATGTAACACACAAAATGGGACAAAGGGCAGCAGAAAACCAGCTAAACTCACTTTCTCTATCCGTCTTTGACAGAGCTTGGCAAACCAGTTATTCCTAACAGGGTGCAAAGTAAAGAAGTGCCTTGCAGCCCAGGATGTCGTCCACCACCACCTCCTCTGTTACCCTAAATACTGGGGTTCAAATGCCCCTCCTGGGGTTGGGGACTTACAAGTTGCACGGCTCTGAAGAAGTGTATCGGGCCGTGGATGCCGCCTTGGCTGCGGGTTACCGGGCCTTTGACAGTGCAGCCGTCTACCGGAATGAAGCCGACCTGGGCCGATCCATGAGGGAGCTCCTGCCCAAGCACGGCTTGACCAGACAGGATGTGTTCATAACCAGGTGATGCACAGGCTTCTAAAGCATAAGTTGACACATGATTTCTAAGAGAACACATTGGGGGCACTAAAGCTGACTTTAGGTGTTCATTCAGATCCCTGTTTCTCTTCCTGTTTTTCAGTAAGCTGGGCCCTAAGGATCAGGGTGAGCGGGCTATGGAAGGTGCCCTTCACAGCCTGTCTCAGCTGGACTTGGGTTACATTGACCTCTATTTGATTCACTGGCCTGGCACGCAGGGTCTAGCAGTGGCTGATCAGAGCAACCCAGGTAGACTCCACTTTTTTTTTTCTCAAGCGTTTCAGGTGATCTATATTTCATCGCTGCACTAACTGCACAAAAACCATTCAAGCTGTCTTCTCTCATTCCTCCACTGCAACATAGCTGGCATTGAGTAACAGCAGAGATGAGGTCCTAATAAATATTTGATCCCAGGAAACCGAGCTCAGAGTTGGGCCACGCTGGAGGAGCTGCATGGCCAGGGGAAGCTGAAGGCCATTGGAGTGTCAAACTATACAGTGGCTCACATGAGAGAACTAATGCAGAGCTGCAAAGTCCCCCCTGCAGTTCTACAGGTACAATGCAGGAGTTTGAATGGAGGACAGGGAAAGACATTAGCAGCTGTTTGAAATCTCACGTTTGTTTTGTGTTCTTCAGGTAGAGTTTCACCCACGTCTGTGCCAAGCAGAGCTGAAGAGTGTTTGTGAGGAGTATGGAGTCTGTTTCCAAGCATATTCCTCCTTAGGCCAAGGAGATCTGGTTACTGATCCTGTGGTCCTGGAGGTGGCAAAGCAGTGCCAACGCACCCCCGCACAAGTGAGCCCACTCGCTCTGCTATCTTGGGTATACCTTTGTTTTTATTGCAAACATTTTAAGGTTCTTCTGTCCCTCTCCTCAGGTGCTGCTGCGGTGGGCGGTGCAGCAGGGTGTCGCTGTGCTCCCAAAGTCATCAAACGCAGACCGAATACAGGAGAACGCCAGACTTTTTGACTTTACACTGAGCGACGCAGACATGGACAGACTGTCAGCTTTGGACTGTGGACAGAAGTACTGCTGGGATCCGTCAGGGGTCGCCTGAAACACCAGCTTGTGTCCTCCATGATGCCTTTTTGTCTTCAGTTTTACAGTGGTAGTCTTTTTTTAAAGCTGTTACAAGTTTTGTGTCGACACTTTGTTAATTTCAAGACAAAAGTACAGCATATTGTGGTATGAACTCTAAATCTATGCAACGTCACCCATCACATGACTTTATTGTCAACCATAAGCCATGTCTTAGTGAGAACCTTTCCCTTTGTTATTGGATAACAAAAACTTTTACATATCTGTGAGTTTAACTGTTGCTCATTATTCTTCATAATCTCTTTGACTAACCAGAAATCTCCACTGAACATAATTCAAAGGTCTTCTAAGCCTGTGTAGTAGACAATTAAAAGAACAAAATACCTTTTAAAAGCTCTCTTAAAATTATTTATTTAGACCAGAGTTTTCACAGTTGTAGAGAAAATACATTTACAAGTCATTAAAAATTAAAAAGAAACCAAAATAAGAAAAAAAAGTAATATTACATTTTTATTTTCTCCACACACACATCTCCAGATTCAAGTAATACTAAGGATGGTTGCAAAAAATCCAGGTGCCCAGGCAGGTTTGGGGTGTGTTCACTGTCACGGATGTTTAAAGTCAAAAGAGTTGCCAAACTCCACATCAGCCATTTTATAGTGTACGCGTGTGTCACTTAAAAATGTCATGACAGTAAATGCACCGGGACATTTTTGTGCTTTCTGTTTTTCCTCTGAGTGTAACTTGTGAAAGCGAGCAGTGAAGTTTAAGGCTGTAATTGGGTAAACAGACGAGGCTGGCTATGCGGCGTCACAGGTCACAGCATGTTCAAGGCAGTTCTTTGCAACATTAAATTCATTTAAATTCCATCTGATCTTTATTTTCAGCAGAGTAAAGCTTTATAATCTGACCCAGAGTTCTCAAAACTGTGTGTGCACTCCCGGCAATTGGATAACATGGGTCTAACGTGTTAAAATGCAAAATGCTGTTTCTTGCTTAAACACTCGTGTCTCTAGAAATCTGATATCAGAAAACTCCTCATCCCTTTTTTATAATGGGAAGTAGTTTAAATTTGACAAATGACCAGTCAAAACACAAGTGACCAAAAGGATGGTAGAACAGGATGAGTGTCAGGTAAAGTGGCCACCGTTTGATTGTCTGGAATTCTCTGATTAAAAACCAAGCTATATATTTATATACGCATATATATATTTTTCAATTTGAATTTGAAAACCATATAAATGCCTGCACACCCGAGCGCTTCACAACTCAACGCTACAAGTCGAGAGGAAGGAAGAATAAGACAACTTGAACAAACCCACTACCATTTTCAGCAATCACGTATTTAGAAACAAGCCACAAGTAGCCCACTCATGTTTACCGAGCTGCACAGAAATGCTGATCTTTGCCCTTAGTTAGAATTTCCATAAAGTATATATATGCGCCTTACGTGTCTAAAAAACACCAGCAAAGCTGATGATCAGCACTTCTAAAGCTAAGGCATGAGAGTTTTAATCACATCCCCTTACAGGTCAAAGTGATCAACTCACATTTAAACTGATTAAAAACAAAATAAACAAAAACAAAACCTCAGGATGTGATTTCTCCTGAAAATCCTTCCAGCAAAAAGCAAGTGGAAATCCCTCATTTTTAATGTGACTGGACTCTGTATTCACCCATGCACCGAGAGCTCAGCACGCAACATTTATCACAACAGCCATGGATTGTACACTGCCTATTGCTGGGTTAGCCGAGCTTAACAGCACGGTAACCTCGTTAATAAAATCTGGCTAAACCATTTTACTCACCCCCCACCCCCTCCCCACCCTTTACCATTTCATAAAATGTTAAAATATTTACACATAGAAATTTCAATTGTTTTTTTTATGCTTGTCCAAGGCTTTAAAAAGATATTCATATTGGATTGTGCCTTACTGTTTTAACGCCCTCAGCTATTATCCCTGAAGTTTTACAAAAAAGATATTACTTCTGCATCAGAGATTGTCCTTGTAAAAGATTTTTCTTTTTTTTTTTTGGATAAATTTGTGATATAAAGCAGATGATAGTTGAGTACAGTTGTTTAAGAAGAGGCCTAAACTGAATGCCAGTACTGTCTCCTGTTGCCGGCAGATCGTTTTGGCACAAAATGAGCGTGCAAGTCAAACACGAACAGCTTCTGGAGATTTCCTCATGAAAATGAGGAAAGCAGGAAGGGAAAAAAATCTAACAGCATTCAATTTGGCCTTCAGTAGTCAGGTGTTATTCCTCTCTCCATACACAGCACATCGTGAAATGTCAATGTGAGAGACAACTGTAATGCTAAGCGTCTTTAAACCGAGCGTCTCTTCTACGACTAAACAAGGCTTTGTTTGTGTGTTTAGAAGAGATTATTGCCCCTCTCTCGGCCCATCTTTTTATCCGTTTTGCAGGATTCCAGCAGCAGTTCCTCCTCATCGCTGCCTTTCAATTCCACAGTGGACTTCCCAATAACATTGTTTACACCACACTCAACACGAGTACAAAAGTTCTATTTAAAGGTAGTTAACAATGACATAAAATGGCATGACTATGATGGGATCACTGAACATGTACTTTTTTGCTTTTTACTGCACGTCCCACTCTTTTTGATCGAGCCAAATCCTCTTCAGTCTTGTTCTGATCTTAAATATTGTCTCTCGGCTACAATTTCCCCAATCCGCTCCTCCGGACCTTGTATCCTTGTCCTCTCAGTGCTTACTCAGTGCGTTGGTTGTGGTTTTCAAGATGGTTGTTCTCTCCTTCAGTCTCTTGGTGACTAAAGAGATAGCTCCACCAGGTTTTAGAGTGGTGCAGCTTCTTGAGCTTCATCTCCTGCACAGTGAAACAAGAATAATGTCAAGTTAGCAACCTATCATCACCATCTTATCAACCTTTTTTTTTCCAAAAAAATAATTTAAGCCTTGACTCACTCCCATTCTTACCCCTTTATCTAGTAAGCTGTCAAACTCGTCACTCATTCGTCGAAGCTGCCTGCCGTACTTCTTGGCAGCCCACAGAGCAGGGGGAGCTGACTTTGACCTTCGCCTGAATGGGTCTCCCTCTGTGGGAGTACAGACCTCATCCTCCCCTCTAGCCATGAGCTCCTCATCCCTGGCAATTGAGGAAGTGTGGGACTCTGAGTTCACCCTGAGCCTTCCAGCAGCTAAATGGAAAAAGGAAAGGTGAGATAGGCTCAGCGTGTTTTAATGCAAGGCAGATAGAAAGGAGGAAATAAAGAATAATGTAGGAATAGAGGAATTTAAATCATTAGTTGTCTCTGCGACCAGCGACTGTTATTGTACACTGTTATTTTGGCTCTTTTCAGCTGCACGGTAAAAGGAGCCAAAACATCCTCCTATAGTGCTTTGAATGAAGCAATTCAAAATGCAAAACAGGTTAGCTTACAACGCAACCTCATTTTAATGTCCCACCCCAGAATGCATCTCAAGAAAAATAAGGAGAAAGGATAGATTCTAAACTTCTCTACAGATACAGCCAAGAAATGGCTAAATAAAGGGGTGGGGGGGGATCTCATCTAGAGCAGGCTGTGGTCACGTATGCTGCAATATATGTTTTGCCAACAGAACTTCTGCTCAGTTAATCCACAACATACAACAAGGTGCAACATCCAGGGCTGAACAGTAAAGCCAGTGCACAAGTCCCAACAGCTTCCCCTCTTAAAGTACAGTTAAAAATAAATAAATACTGCAGCTATAAACATGTTTACAACCATATACAAAAAAAAAAAAAACAGTGTTTTAATCTGTTCACATAATTGCTCCCCTCATGCCAAGTGGGTGCCACTGGTTGGGTTGTACTAAAAGACAAAAACAAACCAATCAGCTTTTCAGCAAGTGTGTTTTAAGTCTGTTTTTTGTTTGCTTACCAAAATTAATATCATACTGTAATAAGGACACACCTTGCTTCCCCCCCAGTTCTACCTCGTGATTCAAACTGTACATAACAGAAAGAGGAAGCCACAGCGATGTCACCCTCTGGTTTGTGGGAGATCGTCTGAAAGCCTCAAGCCTGGCATTGTGGCCTTGGCTGTTGTTTTGGAAACCGGGTGCAATGTGACCATATCTGAACGCGTGAGCTGGGGAGTTATCACTAATCCACAAATCTAATTATGCACAATTTCAAGTCTTGATATGGTCCAAAGGGGTTGGCTATTCCACCGTATATCAGACAATTAATTTTGTGTTCCTACCTGTCGTTTTGATTACAGGAAGGGAGAGCGTCTGGGGCTTGCTTTCTTGAACTTGTCTTGCTGACTGTTGGTTTTCTCCTTCCCCTACCTCCTCTGATGTCTCTGAATCACTGTCTGAAATTTTGAAGTTTGCAGCCATCCTGACATCTGGAGAGATAGGGTGGTGTTGGAAATATGAACGACAAAAACGGTTAAAGAAATGACAGTGTGTCCTTAAGTGCATGCACATAACAGATCAATGTTGTTATGACCACAGCAGGTTAATACTGGCGTTGCTTTGCCTTTGACCTTTCAAGCAAATATAGAAAAAAACCCACAATGATAAATTGATTATTTTTTTAAATTTACATCTTATTCTAACAGAAGACTGCACTGCAAAAAGTTGCTATATTGCAATTGTGCAATTTTATTGTCATATAACACATTACCCAAATATGTGTAAATATACCTAAGACTCGTAAAATGGGATAATTCATTGTATCGGTGGAACAGCCACCGAGCACACCCAGCGGGTTATATCTTTCTTTTTAATGCCCCTGATACTGGCCGGTCCAAAGGTATTTCACTTTAACTACCCACAAGATACCAGACTTGTTTTGACAACACAGGCCTGTATTTGGTGTTATTAATAAGGATTTGACCCTTGACTGTTGCTAAATTAACCAATACACCTTCTTCTTCGGTAAACACACTCTGTCGCTTGTTTTGTTGTTGACTGAAGAGGACAAAAGAAAGTTCCTTAAGGGCGGAAGCTGCTCCGGCCAACCTTAGCTAGCAGCGTTTGTAAGGAAATGACTCCACAAAAAACGACTCCTTACCCGAATCTTTATCGTGTGAGTCTCAAAAGTGCGAGTGTGTCTTTAGTTTGCTTCATGCGGTCGCAGCTGTTGTTGTCCGCGTCTTGTCTTTTTACTCTACCGCACACTTTAGCTCCGCGCTCACCCAATCGCCGCGCGTCACTGCACCGCAGCGGCGCGCTGACGTCACTGTTGCGAGCTAGGACTGGGCTGTGCCTTTGTTTGTCTCACCGGCTTACCGTAATATGCAGCGTAGATGCGCAGTACCAATTAACTGCTGGATTTCTCGTAAAATTGCATAATAAAACTTTATATCTAAGAGTCCCGCTTTTACAATCCTACACAATAAATAATACCGAGGTTGCATAAAAAAATGCTCTTAAATTAAAAGTACTGCAATTTTACAGTTAGTCTTTATTTGTTTTTTGTTTTGTTTTTTATTTAGTTTAATAGGAAAAAATATGCTGCACTCATAAAATATACATTTATTAGTGTGTCATTACATCTCCTAACAAACTGATGCCTTCTTATGAATTTAGAATTATGCCAATGAAAATACTTTTTTTTCATTCAAACCTTTATTTAAACAACAGTACGATACAAAATAGAATTAAACAGTACCACATTAATGGTGTTGTACTTACAAAAAAAAAAAGATTGCATAACATAAACAAACAAATAAATGAACAATATTCAGAACCTACGATATAAACATGCTAGGGGGAAAAGTAACTGATCAAACCAAAGAATAAAGTGATTGAAAGATCTTGATTTTTTTTTCACAAACACCCATAGTTTTTATAGCTTTTGGGTTAGTGGAGTTCTTAATTG